AAACTAACCATTACCTTTTTTTTCTTAGCAGAACAAATAAAGTTCAATCTCCTATCTTTCTTTTGTTCTACTTTGTAGTAGTGTCATGGTAAATGCTCTCGATAGGTTTGTTTGAATGATGGTGCAAAATTTTATTGTTGAGTCGGTGCAACCAGCAAATAAAGCAGTGCAATCAGTCACTTTTGTTTCAATTTCCTTTCAGCTTGAATGCCTTTAATACCTACTGGGGTCAATTTAAATGCCTTTAATAATCTGCATTGCAAAGAAAGCAGATTATCAGGTTTAAATGTTGATTATCAATCCCATTGTGTAGTGCAAAATGCTCCAGAGTAACAATCATGTGGCCTTGTGAAGAAATTGTCATTATTAACTTGGTATTGTAAAAATTGTGTATTTTCTGTTGAGTTGCTAAAATTGCTGTATAATGGTGAGACATGTTCACATGCAGACACAGCAGCAGCAAGTAAAGGTAGTGCCTACGCATGGACAAATTTTTTTGGTTTGATTGTTGGGTTAGATGAACTTCCTGTGGCTTTCTAGAAGCATGTCAAGCTTGGACAATACTGATGGTTCTACATCTTGGAGACTCACTATTAATGTCGAGCTTATTGCAGTTATTGGTTCTAAATTTTTTGCAAAGTTGTTATTTAACATTATGCCAGTTGATTGAAACTGAAATTATTACATTATTCACTAGTTTCAGCTTGAAATAGATACGCCGGTTGATTGAAACTGGAATGATTAATGGAGTTTTGAATGTTTACAGTTTCCTATAATTCATGCTCAAGTTTGTAATTTCAAATCCCCGAAAGCATCAGTGCTTCAATGCCATTTACACGTTTTAGTGTTCCATAAAAACATACCATTTGATAGCAAAAGTGTTTAATAGAACATAATCTCAGACATGGCTTCAATAGTAAAAGTTTATAGAAGGATTGTTCACAACACAATCCACAAATATAATACTGGAAACAGCGAACTCAGAATTAAATCTGGTAGATTATAAAAATCCATACATGATATCATTTGATTTCCTAGTTTAAAACAGATCGGTTTCTCATTTCAACAACCTAAATGGATTATAACATAAGGGCATCAACAACATACAAACCATGCATGAATGAAGCATAAGCGTTCATACATAAACTACCCTTACTCAAACTACAAACTACCATATTCAAGCTGGCTGCTTTCCTTTGGCATCAACTTGCGTGATCTTTCGCACTACCTTTATGACATATTCCAGAGTTCCTTCCTGGGACAGTCATCAACCACCACCAACAAAGCTGAAATCCAAAAAGATAACATAATCACTACTTGGATAAGTTTTTAAATTGACAGCCAACACAAACAACTATGATATATTCAGGGTCAAGATTTGCACAAGTATTATTATTAAAACTTACAATACACAACAAAATTTTAAACATCAGTCATGACTGGCTAGTGGCTACTATTCAGGCTTCGAATGCGACCGGATATGGTAGGTCGATCAAAGAACACAAATTAAACACCATTAATTTCTTTTCCAACGATTACAATCTTATTTTCCACAATTCAATTCCCACTACCTAATAAAAAGCTGTAGACTTTAAAAGGTAGCAGAAGAATATCAAATTGTTCCTCTAAGTGCAACCATAGTACAATACCACCACCTAACATATTCTAATACAATTTATATTAAAAATTAAATTGAATTTATTCGAAGACATTTATACGACGAAAAAAAAGTCTAACAAGTGAGAATTAAATTTTTTTTAAAAGAAATATAACAGAATCTAAAAAGAAACCTGATGAAAACAAGGGATTTAATTGAAATTGATTAAATGCCTACAAGTAAAAAAGCTTACTAAATTCATCGAAAACAGGGAAAAAATAGGAATCGGGTAAAATTCTTACTAAACTATAATAGATTGATTTTTTAAGGGATTTACGATAAACTACTTAGAATCCGGATGAAAATAACAGAAAATAATAACACCCATTTGTTCAAAAATATGAAGAGGATGAATTTTTACCTACAGGGTGCGGCGGGAACAAGGAGTGACACCTCGACAGGGAGCGGTGGGGGCAACTTCGAGAGAATTTGGAGCAAAGTCTGATTTCATCAAGTTTCTCAAAACCCCCAAAACATACTACCTTCACTTTGAAGTGCGGGTCACATACCGGAAATACCCGTCGATCTTTGAGAGAGAGGGGAAACGGTTTATTTCGGGAGAAAGCAATGACTTGGATGGAAATGGCTTTGTTCATGGAAATGGCTCTGTTTTACTGTAAATTGCAGTTAATAGAAGTTTATTCGAGCGACGACGACAGCTTTGAGTGGCCGTAGATGGTGAGCTTCACTTTGGAGATAGCAATTTTCGCCTTCAACTTGCCGATTTGAAGATTGTGAGATGTGGTTAGGGTTTCGATTTTGGGGTATAGCGATTCTGTTTGTGTTATACTTTTTTTTTCTTTTATTTAAACAGATACCACGTCATTCTGTTTTTTAGTCGGTTCGAACGGCGCTGGACGTGTAGCGCTGTTGAATTTGTATAGCCCAAAACTTCACAACAACAAAATAATCCTAATAGCCCAATTTCCAAAGAACTACTGTTCTCATCTACTATTCATTAGTCCCTTAACAACACCTTAATGCCTTTTCCCACAACATCCTCAAGACCCTAAATCTACATATATTCAGACCCTTCTAACCTAATATGTTTCCCCACTTTTCAATTACAAAAGCTAGCATTGACTAAAGCCCTGCCATCCACTATAGACAAGTATTTTGACACATACTTGTCCAAAATAATACCCACAATTAGTATTTGCCCTCATGGATCAAGAAACAACTCTATGCAAACATCCATCGCCATTAGCATTCTCTTATTCATGATAATAATTCTGAAACCACCATTGTTTGGAAAATAGGTAAGATCATTCAAAATACAATAACACTTTGATCATCACTCAATCAAATAACTAAAATATTTACAAACTGTCTCATAATTAAAGCACGTAAAAGTGAATATCATCTAAGAGTATCAACAAAATTTACTGCACGAAAACATTAAGATTGAAGTTTAATTAATTACCATCAGGAAGAGAGATAGGAAAATCAGTCCAAAGCCCATGCCTTGATGAAATTTTTCTTAAAAAATCCACAACTTCCTCGATAACTCCCACTGCACCATCCTCCTCCAAATCATCGTCATCATTACTATCCTTCATTTTTCTCGGAAACTACAACAAATTGGAAGTGAAATTCAAGGAGAGTAAAGAGAGTCCCGATTTCAAGGTACCCTGAATTTTCGCCAAGTCATTCTTTATTCCGGAAATCATATCCGAGTTGGGCGGCAATGGCGCAAGAGGTATTTCCTCCAAGTCATTCTTGACTCTCGAAATCATGTCCGAGTCGAGGGCCGGCAGAGGCACAAGAAAGGCAGTGTCGCCGTGGAAGAGGGTGGAAAGGTCTTCCTTAACGCTGGCGGAGGGAGTTGTGGGGGAAGAGGGTTGCGGTAAATGATTATCATTGAAAATTGAGGGAAACCAAGATGACATTTTTTATTTTCTTTGAAGCTCTCACGGAGTGCGCTCCATCGATGGCCATATGCTAAAGGAAGACAGAGAATTTTTCAATTTGGAGAGGGGAAAATGGCGAGAGAATTTAGGGTTTGAATTAATTTGGATTTCTTCAATTTAAGCCCGTATATAACTTAATTTCGTTCGTTTTTCGCAACGTTTATTAAACGTTGCGAATCCAAAAGATATGCAACGTTTAAAAACCGTTGCGAAAAATATACATTAACAAAACTTAAAAAACGTTACGAAAAGTTAGTCTACCAAAGTAATTTGCAAAGTTTAAAAAACGTTGCGATAAGTTTACGTTTTTGCAACGTTCATTAAATGTTGCAGAAATAGACTTTTTGCAACATTTAATAAACGTTGCAAAAAGATGGTCTATTGAAACTTTTTGCAACGTTTATTCACTTTCGCAATAGTCAATAAATGTTGCAAAAAGTGACATTAGCAATATTCATTTTAAAAATGTTGTCAAAACTCAATTACATTAACTAATTGCAACATTCACTTATTAAAACGTTGCCAAAAGACCCTTTTAGCAACATTTATCAACAAATGTTGCATTTTAAGTGTTGTAAATGATCATTTTTTGTGTAGTGAATCAATCAATGTCACTTTTGGATTTGTTATCTTGTTCCATTTGTCTCTATAATAAATAAAGATGTTAATTTTTCAAAGAATATAAATGAAATAGTGCGAGACTTCTTTAAAAAAAAAATGTAATAGGGTGTATCACTTTTAAATTCTACCACATTAATTCATATACAAAGATCAAATGAAGTGTTATATTATCTCACTTTTTAATTTAAAGCAAGGTTTATATCCTTATTCATATTTAAATTTTCATAAACACACATGTATGCATCTCTTTAATTAATTCAAAAGAATTCACGCTACAAAAGAATTCAACGTTTGGACGTGTGTTACAAATTGAGGTATTGTCAAAAGTAAAAAGATACGGCAACGTTTAAAAAACATTACCATAGATCTACGACAACGTTTAGAAAACGTTTTTTAAAAGTTGTTGTATGTCTACGGCAACGTTTAGAAAACGTTGCGAACGGGTTCTTTGGCAAGGTTTTCTAAACGTTGCCGTAGGTCATATTATAGTTTTTTTTTTTTTTTTTTTGTAAATTGACTAACAAAATTGAAAATACTCCTTTCGAACAAATTTAAAAATTGCATAAAAATTGATAATTTCATTACAATTTTTTGAATCCATACACTTGGAATATTAAAATGTAATACATCACCNACAATTTTTTGAATCCATACACTTGGAATATTAAAATGTAATACATCACCACCCAACTTTTCTCTCTTTTGCTATACACTTACAACTCATCTCCAACTCCGAAACCCTACCAACCTCATCAATCGACCTCTGCACAGCATTGAGAAAGCTCTTAGAACTACTTCCTTTTGACATTTCCTCAAAAACTATGTTCATGTTTCTCCACCACTTGACCATCCTTCCCTTCTTTATAATCTTGACCCATGATATCTAGAACACATGCAATATTTAAGCCTCCTGCATTCTCTACAAAAGAGCTTTCACCGCCATCAGTTTCAAGATACTTCTTACTCCCATCGACACCATCCAACGAACCAAGAACGTCCACTATAAGTTTAATTCCATTTTGAATCTTGATCCTTTACATTAGCCGCCTGCATAGATCAATTCACAATACACAGTTGATAAATGATTTACTCCATACTTTTTCTAAACATGTAACTATTTTTAGTAAACTAGGACTAATAAAATTTGAAGTTCAGATCATTCTATCACGAATGCATAGAAACTATTTTTAAATGCTTCAATATCTCATACATAATTTGGCAGTGCAACAAGACAGTAGTAAGTGCTTATGGAACAATACCATTTGGCCTGATTCAATACAAATCAAAAGTAAGAAATAAGAGGACTTGAAAGAAGGCGAAGTGTAAAGCTTAGAATATAGCGAATTGAAGTTGAGAATTTAAAGTAACTGAAATTGAGAAAGTCATTTTTTCATGACGAATAATACAGATTGAAAGCAAGCAACTAGAAGGAATAATGATTTGTTTTTCACTAAAATCGATTATAGTTCAAAGGGAAGCCCATATTGATTCCCTGATATGCAGGTAAAAACAAAGAGCAGAAGGAGATTACATACATATTGGGGTCTTCGACCATGACAACAGTTTCCTGAGCAAAGATGTCCTGCAAAACCAAGTCATCCTTCTCCCCATCCCCTTCATTCTTGTCATTGACTTTGCGACCCAAACTGCTTGTACTAGCATTGTTTGCTTCAGTACCACCTGCAGTGGCGGCAGCCTGCGTGGCTATGAGTAAAGCCGGTATTCCGGATTTTCTCTCCCTCTGCCTCTGAAGGAATTTAACCTCCTCCAACGCTAATCTGATCAAATTCATCTTTTTAGTAGTATTCTTGTATAAAAATTAAAACCCCAGTGACTTACACAAATAAATAAGTTAAACATTTGGAGCAACTTAGAATCATCAAAAACCTTCATTCCCGATTTTTCACACAGCGCCCTAACTGCATCCATGAATTTATTGCGTTCTGGACAAAATTGGACCTGACCCATGGTTGGGCCAGGTACGCCGGTGGGGAGGAAGATAACCCATGTGGTCCGCGAACATGGCTCAACCGGACGGCGTTGGGATTTTGAAAATTCGGATCCAGCTCCACGAACTTCGCGACGGGCAGAACTTGGTGTTGAAATGATATTTGGGGTAAATTGGTGCCATGGTTGAGGTCACCTGGTTGTGGGCTTTCGACTGTTGGTGAGTTCCGTTAATGGTGGTGGCCGGTTGTGGAGATTTCGGCGAACTTCAGCTTTGCAGGCCGCAAGGTTTGAGCAGCGATTCCAGCCACCATAGTCCATGAAATTGGGAGGTGTTGGGTGGTAAATGAAGAGAAGGTGAAGGGCTTTCCATCGGTATCAAGGTTCGGTAGTCTTGGTTGTCGTGGCTTGCTGGAATTTTATTCCATAATGGGCGAAATGATGCCCTTAACTTGAAAGAAACTTAGGGTTTGGGTTTCTATCGACCCGTCACGCGTATAATTTAAAAAAATACAAAAGTTTTCGCAACGTTTGTAAAACGTTGCAGAAAGTGACTTTTCGCAACATTCAATAAACGTTACAAAAAATAAAAGGTCTCACATTTTGCAATGTTCAAAAAATGTTGCTAAAAGTGAGACATTTCGCAACGTTCAAAAAACAATGCAAAAGTAAAACTTTTCGCAACGTTTAATAAACGTTGCAAAAGTGGACTTTCACAACATTTGATAAACGTTACGAAAAATAAAACTTTTCGCAACACTTGATAAACGTTGCGGAAAGTAAAAACTTTCTACAACACTCAATAAACGTTGTAAAAAGGGGTCTATTACAACATTTTTCTATAAAACGTTGCCAAAACTCATTTATATTAACCAATGGCAACATTCACTTACTAAAATGTTGCCAAAAGACCTTTTTAGCAACATTTATCAACAAATGTTGCATTTTTAGTGTTGCAAATGACTATTTTTGTTGTAGAAACGCTCAACAAACATTGCGAAAAGGGGTCTATAGCAACATTTTTCTAAAAAACGTTGCCAAAACTCATTTATTCTAACCAGTGGCAACATTCACTTACTAAAATGTTGCCAAAAGACCCTTTTAGCAACATTTATTAACAAATGTTGTCTTTTAAGTGTTGTAAAAGAGTACTTTTGATCAAATGAGATAAACAACAATCTTTTTTAAAAAAAAAAAAAACAAGCGATAAAGTATGTCCCTTTTCTCATTCTCATATTTGTTTTTGCATTTTGACAAACCTTACACGCATCACTTCAATTAGTTAAATTTTCATATATACTAAACTCAATCCAATCCATACAAATCTAAATTTTAATATATACCAACTCAAAAGCATTAATCTAAAAATGAAATTTCATATGTACTAGAACGAAAAAACCTCAACAACGTCAAAGTCAATGCGAAAATTGTTTTCATTTTTCTTGCAATTAAATAAGGGCATTAAATCTATAGTTATCATTAAAAATTAGTCTATAATTGCTTTTTTTTACTGAAAAAACATGAAATACATAATTTGTTACTCAATAATCAACTAAAAGTATTTTTTTCAAAAGGGTGATATTATTTAGTACATGTGGTGTTTAACATCAATCTAGATGACAACAATTGTGATATTAAAAAATAAATATTAGATATAGTGAATATAAAGATTTATGGCTCATCTAATAGAATTTACATATGTTGTCATTTAGAGTAGATAGTATTATTCATCTCAAAATGTTTACAAATTATAAATAAAAAAATTTCCTCAAAATTACCTAGGCATAATTAACAAATTAAGACTTCATGTGATGTCTCTGTTTTAGATGTCACATAACGTTATCTATTTTGGATAACAAACGGTTATATTAATTTAGGTATCTAACTTAAAAAGAGAGCGCGACAATAATACTTAAGTTGTTCATGTACGAATTAATAGTAAATTTCAAAACATTAGCATAAAGAGTACAAAAGACCAAAAAATAAAATAAAATAACAAGAAGATTGTTTGAACATAGAAATATCAAAGGGACCAAAAATATCGGAAGCTAATTTCCTTATCAATACTGCTAGTTGATAGATGAACAGGTGAGTTCAGTTTATCTTTGAGTGGGGTGGCAAAGGTGGGGCTTGTGTGCATGGCACTGTTGGATTTGCATGTCGTTGAAGAAGTTCACAAGCCAGTTCTTGCAGATCATCGCCACCGCCTGCCCCGGAGCCTGATGGTGGCATCTCCTGTGGCGCTCTGGTGGCGCGGCCACCATACTGACATGGATCTGTTTGCTGATGAGGGAGCTGCAACATCCATTGAGTTTGCCCAACTGGTTCAAACAGTAAGGATAAGTCATATGTTGGTGCCACTGTGGCGGATGTCGGCAAGTCTGAAATCGATAGTACCGGTGGCATTACTATTGGCTGCACCGGAGGAGGAGGAGGTGGTGGCGGAGTTGGAATTTGCAGCGCCGCGAGATGCCCTTGCAAGTAGGAAAGATCGGATTGCAGATTCATCACCTTCAATGCCAAAAAATGCCCAAAAGAAATTTAATGTGTCAAGGAAAATAATTTAAAAACTCACTTTTATAGTTTCAAAGAAAATTAGTTTTCCTGCTAACCCCCAATGCCCTACCCTATCCTACCCCACACCCGCCTCTAAAAGCAACAAAACCAGGAGACATATGCACTGATTTAAAAGCATCAGCCACAAAGAACACATATCTTACGGAAACTGTGCAATATTGTGTCTATGAATTAAGTACAAGATGTTATAAGAGACATATACACAGGACCCTTAAATTATGGGCTCAAAAAAATAAAATTTAGGATTAGAAATTTGATGAATGGTAGGAACATTAATCACGTAGAAATTAGAAATCTCCGACCATTTCCTTAATAACAGGAAAAAATCATAGTACTTGCGGGAGGCACTACTATAGTATATATATTGCAACAGACACTGACCACATCATAAGTAAATCAGTCAGAATCAGGTTTCTTGATTTCAGCAAACTATGGAACTGTTCCCCCGATGCACTTCTGCACTTTTTTTCTTCTCTAATTGTTTTAAATATAAGAAATATATTCAGTTAGAAGGTGTTTGGATGGAATTAAAATTAGATTTTTAGTAGATTGTGATAGAAGTTTTTGAAATGCGTGGTTGAAAAGTTGTAGGATCCATGAAATATATAGTTAATATTGATTATTTGATTTTGACATTGACTTGGATTAAAATCAGATTTTAATTCGAATCAAACATAAGCTTAATCGGAAAGCCAAACAGATCCCTATTCACTTCCATCAATCACTGGAATTTCACTATACAAGTTACACAAATGATAAATTTCATATAAACACTTCAAAAAAAGTAGACTTTTAAGAACAAAAAAATTGTAGTGAAAAAATCATTTTTTTAAATCTCGAGATATCTTTCAAGGAATTTATTTATTTATTTTTAACATTAGAACAATTTCTATTACTGAGTGCAACCCTTTGAACCAAAAGCTCGAAATTCGAACTAGATACTGCTTGGAGTTTGAAACAAATCCCAAATAGTTCTTGCAGCAAGAATATAGGGCTTTTTAATTTTAAAGGACTGCACTAGGCTCCAAATCCCACAAAAATGAACCATTTAAATTTTGGAAGAAAATCTCAATTTAGGGCTATGAGATAAGGAAATTGAAATGAAAAATGAAAATTTCACAAGGTCGCAAGTTTTGAGAAATTAATTCAGCTGGAAAAAGGATAAAGGGAAGCAATGGAAGTTTGTAACGGATGAACAAGTACAGTCTTTAGCTCACCAACTCCGACGAGACAGATCACTAAGAGTATGATCATAGGACTAAGCTATTTATTCTAATGACAAACACTGTGGGTGTCCTTTTATTAATAATCCCAAAAAGATGAAAATTAGCTTAAAATAAATGCAAATTTTGATCGATTAATTACCTGTTGTTGAAGGGCAAAGATGTGGGAAACACAGCCATAGACGGGGTCTCTAAGGCGGGACTGAGCCTCATAACAAATGGTCACCACCGCATCGAGCCGCTTGTGCACTGGAATGTGAAGGAGGAGCTTCGAAACATTACTGGCTCCAAACACCTTGTGCACGGCTGCAAAATAAGCTGCACCTTGATCTTGATCAAAGTAGGGTGCAAAAATGCACCCCGGCACGCACTTTCTCCTCAAGAACTTGCACGCTCCGCATGGTCCATTGCTACCACCGCCACTGCCACCACCACCGCTGCTTCCTGCACCGCCGCAACCCCCAGCTCCAACACTAGTGCCATCACAAGAGACTTTTGCACTCATTTTTTTTCCTTGTAATTAAATCCCTAAATTCTACTGTACTTCACACAATTGATTAGGGTTTTCCATGAGGAATTCTTGAAGAAGAACTTGAGAGAGTAAGAAATATACAGAGAGGAGAAAGGGAAAGAACGAAAGAGAGAGTGGAGTCTTATTTTAGGGTTTGGTGGTATTTATTGTTATTGTGAAGGGGTTTTTAAACACAAAATGAAGTCTTAGAAGCCACGCGATGAAGCAAACGCCATTAGCTGCTTGCGTGAAGCAAACATGAGATAACCCACCCGCCTTTTTATTTATCATCCTTCATCTCGTGAGTTTAGTGCACAAAACTCGTGTTTTCGCTACAACACCAATCGTAAGCTAGCACACAGAATTATATGCATGTAAATGGGCATTTGTATGTAAATGTATAAGACAAAAAGAATGGAATTTTGAATGTCTATACTTAGTTTTACTGCAAGCTTTAACTTGTGTAAAGGGCTGAAAATCCTTGACCTTTTTCTCTCTCTCTCTCTCTCTCAATCTTTCCATGACTTAAAAGGATTTATTTCCAACTCTTTTTGTTTCTTTCTTTTCACTAATGGCCAAATTAAGAAAATTGCAGGGACCATTTGAACATTCAAACTATAATGTGTAACACATTGAAATATATCTATAGACGAACTATTGGACTCGACAACACATAGTAAGACCTTAAACTTCTAAAAGTGTTGTGATCAAGCACAACTAAACAAAAATATTTTGAATTCCGTGAAAAGAAGCTTGTGATTCTGTTGCATGGATCTGAGAGAACCGTTCAAAATATGACATTACATTATTTTTCTTTATTTTAAGGTTCACAAAACAAGAAAAAAAATTGACATTAATGTTTAGGTTTCTCCAAAGAAGCTTCCTCACTTCTTCATGATTTTATTTTTAGCTCGAATTTTATAAAATTTATTTTTTTCTAACTTATTTTTAACTATATATTTCACATGACTCAAACTTTATCAACTTTTTGGTGGGATTTGGTTAAGAAACTATTTTAAAAATTACGTACAAAATCATATTGTGGAAAAATATTAATTATATTTATTGTAAAAGATAATAAATTAGTCTTTGAGTGCAGACATAAATTATTGTTAAGATACTTGCAATATTAACCTTACATAAAATAGAAAAATATCCACAAATTTTCGTGATATGACTTTCCATGTTGTCGCTTTCTATTAATGCGTTCTATTTAGAAAAATCATCATAATCATTGATGGCATAACATTTTTTCACGTTCTCAATCTCCATATATATAAAGAGAACAAACAAATTACCTTAAACGTCATAAAAGAGTTGTGACTAGTATTTGTGACGTGACTTTTCAATGTTTATGATTCACGCATGAACCGTATATGTTCGAGATAAATAATCTAAATCATTTGTACTCTGGCTTTCCAATTGGTACGATCTCCAAAGAGAACTACGTACTAGATTACAAGGTTTGTTGTTGAGAGGTGACGTTACGTTAAAGATTCCTTCTTTGAGTTTTCCGTGTTTTAATTAAATTCCAAATAGGGAAATCCATGAAAAGTTCGACTATACAACAAAATTTACTCAATACCCTTCAAATAATCTTGGCGTATGATCATGAGTGTGGTTAAATCGTGTGAAGTATAGTTTTTGAGCTTTTACATTATTCGCCACATCTTCAAACAAGATAAGTTTTCATCTTTTACACCTTTAGCTGGTAATTTGAGTCTCCTCCAAATTCTATTCTATATATATATCACCTAAAGTGGTTTAGTTAAAAAGAACAAGCGACATGACTTTCAATGTTCCTAGTTTCAATTTAGAAGATAACCAATAATGGATTACACATTTCAAATAGAACTTCCAACATCTAATTTGTGGCATTTGTAACATCGTTTGGCATTGTAAATGGATCGCATATGAAATCGTGGTTTATTAAGCTCTGAAGAGCAATTCGATCAGTCAAAAATTCAAGCAAAACTTCAAATTTTAAAATAATTTGCTCATCAATAAGTCACCTTCTTACATAGCCATATTAAATGTGAAACCGTTTATCAACTATATATGCAAACACTATCCAACATATAAGGATGATGCTACTCCCCTAATCAAGATTGACCGTTTAAGATATAACTCAAAGTCCAATAATAACATGTGTAGAACAGTGCACAAGTCACTCACGATACTTAAAAACTTGACAGATCCTCATAGTATACTAAACCTACAAAAGAAGTGCATCAACCATTCACGAGAGAAAACCCTGTATATATGTTTTGTTGAGCACATTGAGAACAATTTGCCATTAATCTTGAGAATAAGTTATCGACTACTCTTGAAATAAGAGATTCTTTGATATCATGATTGGAACAATTTAGAATTAGTACGAGATTCATACATGGAACAAGTAGAACAAAAGCAACAAATTTCAATGCAATGAAAAGTTTTTATTTTTATTCTCATTTTTTGCAGCAGGATCATATTGTTATTGTTGCTAAAAAAAATTATTTAATGTCTGGTTCAGTTACAAAAGTGAATCAAAATCTAAGACAGTCAACAACACATTTTATAGGGCCCACAACTTTTCAACTATACACATCCCATAAACTTTTATCAAAATTTACTAAAAATCTTGTTTTTATCTTAAGCGAACGGGGACTTAATTTATCAAAATGTTTTTCCTATCCAATACCATATTACATAAATTAATTAGGTTGCATTTACAACACTTTGAAAGCCAAATTAAATAATTGAGTGTTTATATTAGAAAGTAGTTGGTCTCAATAATGTGGATGAAAAGTGTGTTTGATAAACTTTAAAATTTAATCTTTGCCAATATGTACTAAAACAACATTCACACGGCAAGGGTTTGGACAATTTTCGATGTAGACAGGCAAAGTGATGCAGCACAAAATGATAGACACTCAAAAAATTCATTAACTCTCAAGTACTGAGGATTTGAGTTATCAAATATACGTTAATTCTACATAGAATAATTGAAAGAGTTGAGAACACTTGAAGGAGCTCAGCACAACTGAGGGTCCGTTTAGTATGATTTTTGCTTTTTGTAAAAGGGATTTTAAAGGAAGTTACTTTAATTTTTAAAAGCATTTTTTTATTTCAAAAGTGCTTTTTATATAAAACTATATTAGATCAACTTCCTCTAAAAACTCTTTTAATTAAAAGATATACTTTCATAAAATTAGTCAAAAGGGACCAAAAAATATATTTGAATCTCAAAAACTCTTTATGACTTTTCGAAAGTCATATCAAACAGACTCTAAATCAGCTTATCTCTAAATGAGATGCATGAACAAAAAAAGAAGATTAGCACGAATATGTCGGATCGTATTGTTTCTAATTTTACTTTTTTCTTTATTCTATTTAGGGTCTGTTTGAGTCGGATTAAAATCTGATTTTAATCTAAGTCAAAATAAAACAATCAATATTAACCACATTTTTCATGGGTCCCACATCTTTTCAACCACACATTTCAAAAATTTCTATCACAATGCACTAAAAATCTAATTTTAATCCTCACCAAACACCCTTTATTTTATAGTTTAATTTCAGGTTCTTTCTTTGTTCTTAAAATTCACTCACAATTAGAGTTCTCGAAATTCTTCAATCGAATTTGTGTTCATGCATTCACTGCTCTTTTCTTGCTACCCTGATTATCAATCACAAAGGGAGATTTATTTATTAAGTTGTGGATTAAATTTCAAATGTCACATGTGAATACTATTAAAGGTTATAAGTGCAAATTACTTGTATGGCTGAATTAACTTAGATTAGTCTATCCTCAACGAAATGGAATGGGAGGCTCCTTAACAAAGAGAGAAAATAAAATAAAATAAATGTGAAATAATGAATGGAATGAGTTAAAGAAAGTCAAAACGGGGTTCGGCGTTTCAAAGTACAATGACAAAGCAAGCGTTTATTTCATTTTTATTTGGCTTTACTCCAATTCAAGGACGTCACACGTAACCGAAGGGGAGAATTGAAAACATCCACCCAATTTTTTTTATTTGTTATTATTTGACATGACGCACTAAGAATTCTCTTTCGTTACTTCTCTTGTATGTCTTGATCATATGATCACGCGTGTTCAAATGATTCGACATGTTTATGTGATCTTTATATTCAAATTTTAAAAAATGATGTGATATCCAACCTCCAAAGCGCCAAAAAAGAAAATATGACATGAAATAATCAACAAAAAAATTGTGGACTATGAATATTTTTAATTGGTTTTCTCAACAAAATATTGAACAAGAAATATGAGTCAAATGCTCATAACATTCGGATAAGTTTTGCTATGCAAGTGGCAATCAAATTAGAATAAAAAAACGAAATTCAACATTTAATCATGCAATTAAAAATAGTACATGATTTAACATCATTCATCACTATAAGAAATCCAAAAGGCCAAAAAAAAAAAGGGGGGGCAAAAACTAGAAGTATAATTAAACTTGATATAAACAAACTCAATTAATTGAACAAAATACATAGCCGATGAAAACAAAAACTCGTGTAACATAAAGAATGACATTCTTTCATCTGCATAGTTACTATTGAAAGTTACTAGTTCAAGTGTTCAACCCTTAAATCACATAATAAGTGAATAACGTGGAATTAAATTTATCAATTAAAAGCAACAAGTCACTTTTTAATTGTTCTAGATATTTATTCAATCAAGTCAAATTATCCTCTATTGAATTGCCGCAATAAATAATTAAAGCACTAAATGCACAAGATTTGATGACGGAGAAAACTCTTAACTGGTAAAAAACTCCGGAACCAAGCCAGTAGTTTCAACTATAGACAATAAGAACTTGCAGTATGATCCCGTTTAGAAAATTCACTAGACTCACTGATCTAATTCCTGCAATCTCCAAAATTTGCTGGAACGTGCTTCACTCACATCTGCTCCCAATCTTTTGAAATTGTCTATCTCATGTGGAACACCAAGAACGCTTTATTCTTGTACTCTTCCTGTATTT